TAAGTTATGTGTTATCCGGGACAGACCCGCATGGTGGTCTTAACGGTGATCCCAAGAAGAGCACTCCATAATCTAAGGAATTGTATGACGCAGCAAACATGACCCCCTTCAATCCAGGAGTCTAATGTCATTCACCTCCCTGCCCTAGTTCCCTAGCAAACAAATTAGTAGAGCAAAGTAAGGATAACAATTGCTTCTGGAATTCTCATACCCTTTCTAATCACAGACTCCCTCCCAGTGGGCCAAATACTTCCTCTCCTCCCCTATGGACATCATACCTCGAAGATAAGAAGGGCGTGGCCGCGTACATCAATTGAGCATGGTGCAGGATGTGTTTTTCGTGGGACATTTCCATTCGAGACAATATCATTCTGCCTCGTTCTGGACAAAGACATAATTTCGGATGTCCCGGAATGGTGATATTCCTCTGAAAGCTCGGTCGCCATCATGTGCAGCTGTAGTAGGCAGCCACGCCCCTTCCCCCACGATTGATCAAGGTAAACTACATGAATAAAGCCTCCGCCATCAATCTCTAGTGGGATGCGGCACCATTCCTCTTACCACCGTTCAGAACAGTAATATCTTATTGAATACGTCGCTCTTTACGATGACTCAAAATGTCAGCCGATGAACTAGTAACTGTTATTCTTCTCCCAGAGGAATCTGATAACACAGGAAAGATGAAGTCTTCGCTATTAATCAGTCGCTTGTAGGGATGCGCACGAATCCTACTCCCACTGAGAATCCTACTGGCTCAATGAATGCAATGTGGACTGCAAGGTTGGAGAGACAGCGAAGATTGGGTGGGGGGGGCGGGGTGGGGCGGTGGGGGGAGGGAGGAGCAGTGTGGTCTCCCGTCTTCCTTCCCTCTCCACCCCGAAATTTCGCGGTCTACACTTATTATGTGTTCAGGCATTCCCAAATTTGAATGCAACTCATTGTGAGGACAGCGTCCACGATGGTTTTCAGCAGGCGCTGTTTTAAAGCACAGAACCATTAGATCATGTGGTAAGTGGAACATTAGTGAAGAAAGCAACGAAAGAAACCGTGAAGAGCCCATAAATAAGACCCCTTGTGTGGGATTGGAAATAGTCTAGTCAACTGAACTTTGGCGAGTAGTATGCTCACCATGCGCAGGATTCGGTAGCTCAATGCTGGGCCGCCCAGGCCAAAAAAAGGCCTTCTGCCTCCGGGACGGTGAACTGGTAACAGATTCGTCTGGGAGGGCAAGAATACTGAGTTGTTCATCGCGTCGCTTTTATATCTTTGGACGGAAAGGATACCAAATGACCGATACCAAAGGAATGAACTGGCCTGAGCCGACGCGTGATTGATGGTGATACCTTCTGCATCACCTCAGAAAAAAGTAAGCTCTTCTCGCCGCAAGAACCTGTCAAAGATCGATTCCAACTTATTTTCTGCACAGCAACAAGGGAAGAAAATGTAAATTGAAGAGCTCTTGAGTCCGGTTCACCATTCGAATTACCCAAGGTGGAATTACCTTGGAAACTTCATTCAGTGCTTGCAAACTTCAATCTTGCGATGGAAAGTGATCAGGGCAAACTTTCGGGTAACATTTACCCAAAGCCCAGGTAATACAGTGCGAGGCAATACATCCTGTGAGAAACTTTCCTAACAGGTCACATGCAGCAATAACTCGAGGAAACAACAACAGCTCTTAAAATTATTACAAAGTGCTGGGTGAATCAGTGATTTCCCTGCATCGGTTCAGGAAAACAAGCTATGATTCGAAAACAAGCAGCGTAGTGCACCCTAAAGTGGACTTCAGAATGACTTTATCCCGTCAGTGCTAAGTATTTCCATGCATTTCTGAAATGATGGCAGAGTGCAAGGAGGGAAGGACTTTCATGGGACGGTCAGTTGTTTTCAAGACACATTCCGGGTGTACAAGTCGTGGGTAGTGGGCCAATGCCAATTTACCAAACAACGAAATCGCCCAAACTGCCTCATTTATTACCTTCAAATTCTGAGCTGATTTTGGAAAAGGAAAACGAGAAGTGAGAAGTGAAGAGACAGTGAGAGCGCGGGTGAGAGACTAAAGACGGATAGCTGACGAGTGAACAGAAAGACGAGCGAGACAATAGATGTGTCCCCATACAGATGCGAACACACCGCGGTTCTTCACTGGGTGGAGTCGCCAGGTAGTGGGTGGTGTCGAGTCGGTGAATGGCGACATCAACGGTCTCGTATGTCACTTTCGAACCGCGGAAATGACGCATCATCTGGGAGATGGTCACCTCACGAGGGAAGTCTTTGTACCCATCAGATAATCGCGGAACGGGTTTAGTTTTGAACCATATTCAAGAATCTGAAAATTCGAAAAGAACAAAAGTCCAGTAGTTTGTTACACATTCTTTTCCGTCTAACAACATCGTGGCGGAAGGGTAGCAGTGTAACAATTGGAAAAAGCAGTTACTTCACTGATTTGTGGTTTTTTTTGAAAGAACAGAATATAGTATGGAAACTCAAAAAATAAAATACTTTGCGCCCAGGAAGGGAATAATCGACCCCACAGCTCAATCAATGCATCCCATTGCTCTTAGAGATGGAAAATTGAAGAAAAAGACGCGTTAGAATGAAACGATGGATTTAAAACTATTTACAAGTAAGAACGATTGCAAGGAGAAAAAAATTCGAACAGAGTCAATAAGAAATAAGAAAATGACGTCCATTTCGCGATCGTCCAGCTGGCCATCGACTGAGCGGTGATCGCTTATCGATGTGGATAGGCGACCCCTGATCACAATTGCTATTTTTTTTATCGTTTCTCCTTCCTTCGCGTTTTTCCTCGCCGCTACTCAATAGGATTTTTTACGCAAAATCATCCAGCACTTCACAAAACGCTACGATTTTGTACTGATTCCTGTTGTTCTGCGAGACCAACGAGCCCGACGTCAATCATTTCCCTCTGAAAAGCACATACTCATCTACTGGTAGCAATGAAGCTGGTACATTCGTTTTCGCTACAGATGCTGAAGCGTGTCAGGAGGGTTTGGTGCGACGCCAGCCCGTTCTCCATCAATTCTGGAGACGGGCAATCGACAACAACTGGTGGAAAAGGGCCGACGCCGCGCCAACCCTCCCCTCGTGCCCCCGTGTCTGGAGCCATATATTCTGAAGGCTTCATTTGACTAGTAGAACGTGCGTCGCGGCGACTAATAAAAGGAGTTTTATTTGAAAGACTCCCGCTGTACTGGGATAATGCCATCACAATAGAACTAAACTACTTCAGCTGGTTGTACCCTTTCTGAAGCTTCCTTTAGACATATGCAGACTTCTCATCTCCGCTGAAGTTACTTTAACTTTGCACAACGGCCATCCTAATGCCCCCAAGGGTACCAGCCGCTGGACGGCTAACATACAACTCAGTCCTCCTGTCCCGCTAGGGAGGGAAGGTGTCCTACCGGCGTTTTTCGGCTCCGCCGAACAGACATAATTGAATGTTTTAGCCTAGGTGGCCGAAGTTTTCCTTAAAATGCTTTATCAACGAGCTGCACTTCCGGGTGAAATTTACCTTCCAGCGAATTCGGGCTTGTGGAGGAAAACTTCCGGATAGCCCAGTGATTAGCAGGGTATCGTTGGCTGAAATCTCATCTGTGGTGGAGAGCATTCAATCTTGGATGTTGATTTACCGCATGCATGGACGCCTAGAAACACACTGAACGGGATGACAGGATGAGAGCCATGGTTTGGCTTTCCTGGAATGGTAAGACCATCGCACAGCGGTCCTGTGTGATAGAGGAAAAAAAAGGTAAAAATTTATATAATTCCGTTGCCTAACCACAGGGTACGAACGGTGATCTCGGACATCAAACACGTTCCGACTCCAGCGCTACATCCTGTAGACATTTTAAGTTAGAGTTCATAATTCCTGCGCTGCCTACAACATACCTCCAATACCCGAAGAAGACGGAGTCTAAATGTCACCACATATCCACTCCCATAGCTCCATACCCGAACAAGAGGAGGAGTGGAACGTGCCGGTTCATCATTGCGTTTTGATGCGGGTTGTGGGATATTTCTATTTTATTATGGTTTAGCGCCGGTCATTCTGTCGCGCAGGCCGCTTCACATGACGCTCTCCTCTCCCGGGCATCCTTTGGCCTGAACAGCTGCGATTTAAGTGGAAAAGGAAGAGTAAGAGACAAGAAGGAAGGAACAAGAGAGACGAATGGAGGAGGATCCAGCTTGAAATATCTTAAGGCGTCCCGGAATACGGAACCCCCGTAAACCCTCCCCTCGGATTCCAGAGCAAAGGGCAGCATCACAAGTGAACCAATTTATGACATCGGTTTAGGAAAGCATGATCGATGGGCTCCCTCCGCCAAGGACAACCACACTTCCAGCCTGGTGTCAGATTCGCCCAGAGGGCAGGACTGAAACACGACTTGTACGACCAGGGACGACATGTTCAGCAGTTGATGCACGAAGCCGTTGCTACTAACCAATAAAGGTATCTCTCTATGAAGCGAAGCCGCGCCCCGCCCTCCGCATCCACGTGATATGAAGCGGGCATCTGCTTTGTTTGGGTCATAGCGGTGGATTTTAAAGGAGTCCTGCCGGAGATCCTCATTATGAAGAGGGCGCACCTGCTCTCTAACATTTTTAAGCATCCCAATGCCGCCTTCATTCAATCCGTCTATGGATTGTCTTATTGATAGCTTAACGGGTCACGCAAACAAGCAGTCAAAAGTCATCAAAAAATCTGCTACAATTTATGTACATAGACTAGAAACAAATTCACCTCAGAAAGTTCCAGACAACATAGAATTTGCATCTAATTTTCAAACGAGTCATAATAACAAAACATAAACTCTTAACAAAAATAGCAGTGAGCATTTTGTTCGGTACCGTATACAATCATATCGGATCGGTACAAAACAGTTAGAGGTAATTCTAGAGGGACAAATCCTACAGTAAGTACTGCATATCTAATTGTTAGTTCCCTACTCGACTAAGTTCCGGGGATGCAGACTAGTCTATATTTTTGAAGTCGAACTGTCCAGGAATATATCTTCGCGGCCTAGTGGAGCGAAATATTGCTCAATGTGTGAGTCCGAAACCTCTTCTAGGGTTGCAGGCTTCCACTTCGGATTTCTGTCCTTGTCGATGAGAACTGTAACATAGAAAGGGTGATTAGATCATAACTTCGAAGTTGTGAAATGGCAGGTTTTTTTTTGTTTGCGTAGCGGTAATTCAAACGAACATAGTACGCGGATATTAAGTGTGGGCCTCGAGTAATTCTGCCTATAACTGAAACATGTTCGTTATTTCCGCGTGCATGGCGTCAGATCTACAGTCTTGTTCGCTGCGGAAGATAGGGCGTATCACTGAGGCGCGCCGCCAGCCGGTTCTCCAGCAGTTTTTGAAGCAAGTAAGTGACAAAAACTGATGGTAGAGGATCGAAACGAACGATATGATACAGCCCTGTCGCTTACCAAAAGAGAAAAAAAGTAGAAAAAAAGTGCAGCCGCCGCGCCAAACCCATCTCTTCTTGACATGGCCTATCATCTGCAGCAAGAAGACAGCAGCAGACTGCAGTTTGCGACGACGATCTAGCTATTATTTTCTGGGTAGCTGACTCGAGAGACCGCAACAACCCACCAGAGTTCAACTGCTCATTCAACTTCATGTTTCACCTCACAAAGAGCAGACTAGTATATGAAATCGAGTGAAGGCACTTACTTGCTCTGCAACCTTCATAAAAATCATGATCTTCAAGAGAACGCTGAGTAAGACGATACTCCATCGTGAAAACCTTAATCAGTGTCACATTGAGCGAAAAAAAAACAGTTCGAAAAGAAATGCTCAATTTTGATTT